GCTGCCTCCACCCTAGTTTGCCCCACTGTGGACCCTTGAGCAAGGTCCCACCAGATATTGCATCAGGAAGGGCATCTGGTGTAAACATTTGCTAAGTCTTCATGCTAATTTGTTCACATGTGGAGACCCCAGAAGAAGGGAGCAGATGAAATAAATAAATGATTAACCTTTCTGTAAGTCATCCAATCAGCCATAAATGTATTGATTATCCTATAAAATAATAAATAATAATCTTATAACGATTTCAACTTTCAAGTCTGAGCATGTGTACAAAATGGGCAAAAAGTCTTCAGTTGATCCAAAATGCTGTTGCCAGAGTCTTAACTGGAGTTAGTGGGAGAGATCATATCTCTCTAGTTTTAGCTTCTCTCCACTGGCTCCTGTCAAATTCAGGAGAAAATTTAAAATCTTACTGCTAACCTACAAAGTGCTCAACAACCTAGCTCCATCTTATATTACCATACCATCTTAGTCCCCTCTTAAGACGAGTTCCTGGAACTGTGAGGAGCAACTGGTCCGCTGACCTCAGGGAACGTGGTGGGTTTGCTCAGGATGGGTGACTGTGACACAAGTGAAGATTCAACACAATCTGCTGCTTCCTTAGATAGATCCATCCATCCATTATCTTTATCTGCTTCTTCCTTTTCAAGTCGCGGGGGTCACTGGTACCCATGTCCAGCCATCACTGTACGAGAGGCGGGGTACACCTGGACAGGTCTCCAGTCCATCACAGGGCCACAGAGACAAATGAGACAAACAACCATTCACTCTCTCACGCACACCTAGGGACAATTTAGAGTTACCAGTCAGACTAACATGCATGTTTTTGGTCTGTGGGAGGAAACCGGAGTATCCGGAGAAAATCCACGCATGCACGGAGAGAACATGCAAACTCCACCCAGAAAGACCCCGGCCAGGATTTGAACCGGGGTGACCTGCTCACTGAGTGGTGGCAGCTCTACCAACTGCACCACCGTGCTGCCCTTCTTAGATAGAGAACTTTTACGAATTGGCTTTTCTAATGTATGTGAATGTTTCTGTTTAATGCCCTGAGACGACTTCTGTTGGGACTTGGAGTTCTATAAATAAACTGAACCAAATTGAATTTGGATATCCGACACCACTGAGGTTCTGTGCAACTAACTAATTATTGATGAATGATCAACAACTAAGCAACCGCCTGCTATGAGTTCTAGTTCTGATAATTTTTTTTTTTGGGGGGGGGGGGTTCTACCATTTCTAATCTCTGATAGACACTCATGCCCTGACGCGCCGCCTCTATTCAGTCGTCTTTATCTGCTGTCACCGTGCTGTAGAGGGACGGCTAATCCTCCTGCCTTAACTACACACAGACCACTGATAGTGGACCACAGAGTCTGAACCTCACACACCCGGTCCTGGAGCTCAGTTTACTGCAGCCCGTTTATCAAATACAGTCCAACATGAACAGAACTTGTGACGACTACTGGTTTGTCTCACGTTGACACAAACGTCCAACATGCCAGTAGGTGAGAGAAACTCTCTCTTCATCAAAGCCAACATCATCTGACAGCAACATAAGATGCCTCAAGGTAAACGACTATTAGAACGTAAGTTTATAAAAACAAACATGGGTTCTCTAAATGATCACCTGGAAGTGACTCCAAACAAAACCTTACTTCATGTTCACAGCAGCCATTTTCAGATGCACAGGGTTAGATTTAAATGGAAGAATAAAACACCTGAAAGGCCCAAATACACCAAGCAGAACCCAGAAGACACCAGCCTTTAGTCTGACCTTCAGGCTGATTCAGTTTCTAAAGGTTTAAATCCTAAAGGAGCTTCTGCCGACAACAACCATTAGAGTCAACGTGCAGAGCAGCAACACTCATGTTCATAAACATTCAGCTGGTTCAGTTTCTGAGTGAATATGACCCGAATGACGGCAGAAACCTTGTTGAATCATCTTTAAAGACGACTCCGGGATTTATTAAACCCTGGGAAAGTGTTTTGTTTGGGATTTATCAACATACTGCGTTGTGTCATTTCAAAGCAACACAAACAGAAGAAAAGCATTTCATCCTCGTCTCTGCAGCTTCTCCAGGAGGAACCAACTGTGGTCCAGAACAGGAGTCTCAGACAGAGGCTGGTCCATCCCAAGGACACAACCCCAAAACCAAAGTGAGCGCTGTAGTGTCTGCAGTTCAGAGCAGTGAGGAATGTCCAGACTTCTAAAGTGGAGAACCTAAACAACCTCTCCCCAGATGCATGGTCCAACACTGGAGAGCAGCTCTTCAGGACCAGGCTCAGTAGTCCACCTACACCTCTGCAGCAGCATTAGACCTGATCCCAGGTCAGCTCCAGTCCAGTTCGCACCTTCATGCTGGTGATCCAAACATCTCTCAGACCCAGGCAAGCAAAGAACATTTTTTGGGATTTATCATGACCCGGATGACAAAGAACCTTCACCTGCATCACACACAGAATCTTACCAATTTCAAAAAATATTAAAAAGAATAATTTTAAATTCATACACATTTTGTTTGCAGAATTACAAAAGTTAAAAAAGTGGGTTTGTAGCTTCTACAGGAGTCCTGGGAAAATTAAATATTTCTTAAATCTGATCCATGTTCCAACACCCACACACCCACACACACACACACACAGCTGTGACAGAGAGGTGTTAAAGTCTGGTGTGTGAGTGTGTGTGCGTGCGTGCGTGCGATAAACCCACACGGCTCGTCACATTCACAACATCCTTCAACACCTTTCTGCACCTACGGTTTAATCACAATTAACACAACGCTCGTCGCAGCAGCACCTCCACCCCCAGCAGGCGACAAGTTAAAGTTAGAAACTGACAATAAAAAGATAAAAACTGGATCATCTGTAACGCAGAAAGCCGTCCCAACACCCTTCAGACAGGATGATGTGACGAGTAAATGATTAAAAAACTGTGTATAATCTACAGTAGAAGAAAGTTAAATTTTAAAGACTGAAAATTATTTTTCGATTGGTTTATAATGTTACCAACAGTCCATAAAGGCTGAGAGTACCATCTTTCTGTATAATAAGTTTAGACTTTAAAACACCAGGTTCTGACCCAAACACTAGAAATGAGTCAGATTTCATCTTCTGAAACAGTCAGAAAGGATAAACATGAATTGGCTGATGTCAGAACGTTCTCCTGTCTCATGTATAGAACATTTATTAGATTGTCTACGGCAGTGAGAGGCTTAGATTGTGAAGGACATAAAACTTTAAAATGTGTTTCTGTACTGAGTGCAGCTCAAAAATTCAAACATCAGTCGTTTCTCTGCTGACTGACTCTGAGCCCTTTAACTAAACATATTTATAATTATTACATCTTGGAGCACGTTTCTCCTCGTTTGGAAGCCATTTTCATAATTAGACCCAAATAAATGAGGTTCTGAGCCTCACAGCTCAGGGTTAGAGTAAAACCAGGTGTATGTGCCTTGTTAAAAACAAAAACATGGTGTCTGCAGAGGTCAGAGGTCATTGTGAAGACGGGTAAAACAGCTGAATTTGTGACAATCGATAATTATTTAACTTTGTGTGGACACAACCCAGCAGCTGCCGCCACCCTCACTAAAGTTCTGATCGACAACATCATTAACCCAAGAATCAATAATTACCGGTAGATCCGGTTCTGACGCGCTCTGTGGTTCCCAAGACAGGTCCGTAAAAACCCAGTGGTGTCCCACTCTGCCACGAGGCATTCAGGGAAAACTCAGTTTTTATGATTAACTCTGCACAAACTGGCAGCGTGAGTCAGAACCTTTAGCGTTTGACTGTCATTTCATACAGACTGTCAGCGTTTGTGAGGCCACTGATAAACAAACAAACAAGGTAATTAAAATAGAGCTAAAAACAAACTTTATCAGTTAACAGATACACCAGAGAGAGAGAGAGAGAGAGACACGCACAGAGTCAGGAGGACTCTCACATGATTCAAATGCAATAATCAATCCAACCGACGCCTCTGTTTCAACTGAAAGGACATTTCTATAAAACTGTCCACAACAGTGTCCATCAGAGACAAACAGCAGGTGTCCAACATCATCAGAATGGACATGTGACCACTAACCAGAGGACAGACGCGTCCTGCGTCCCTCAGTCTAATGTCAGAATGTTCACACATGACCTCTGACCTGAGGACAAATGCATCCTGCATCCTTCAGTCCTCTGAATCCTGATCCCTGTCACCATGACAACCTGAAGTGATACAAAGATGTTGCAGATCTCCAACTGAGAAAATTGTCTCCACTGATCCTTGTCCGTTTAGACATTAAAAAAATTCATTCTGCAGATTATTTTTCCACTTTTAAATCTTTATTTTTTTTCCTAAAAATTTAAGTTGTTTCTTTTTATGTTTAATTAATTCCTTGTCATTTTTTCTATACAAGTTGAATTAAGATTGTGTTTTTATTATTTCATCTTATTGTTCATAAATTTATAATAAAAAAAATCACTTAATCTGACCAGACTGCAACATGTGATCATTATTATCAGTAATTATTTAAATCAAAACTTTGGTCCTGTAGAGATAAAAAACAAGCATAATGAGGCGTTACCATGACATTAACCTCTGACCTTTCAGGTACAGATTCAGACATCTAAATTTAACAGAGTTGACGATTACCGGTACGTCAAATTTAGGTGTAGTGATGATTAGCCTTTTTAAACTAATTTCAATAGTTTGTTTAGATGAACAAAACTGAGAGCAACACCTTCTCGTACATAAATCCAGTCCGTGTATTTGTGACAGAGTTACGTTAATGTTCCAGTCTGACACGGAGCAGAGGTGAAATGTTAAAATCATTAGAGACCCGTGTTGTCCTAGTCCCCTGACCCGTTTACTGCCAGCAGGAATACCAGACCTGATGAAGGCCAACAAATCTATTAAAAGCACCAACGCTGGGTTCTGCAGAGCATCTGGATCTTAAATATAGGACGGAGCTTCTACCAGCTGCATCCATTAATAATTGATGTGAACTTACATAAGTGCTGCTGGATGTGGTTCAGGGCGGGGATCCCGTCTGCACGGGGGTTTCCGGACCTCGACGTAACAGACCGTGTTCTGGGTTCTACCTGCTGATCCAGGAGCAGGTCAGCATCTACAGGTGAAAAGATGAGGATGAGATGGTACCATTCAATGACTGTATCACCGTTAAAACATATTTCCATTAATCCATAACTAATGTTTTTAAATCTGCTGCTTTTAGCCATTTGGAAGATGAAAAGTTGTTTTTGGTTGTTCAGGTCATTTAAGTTTTAATTGTTTCCTCTAGACTCCAACTGATATATCGGTAGGGCCGATATAGGTCTTTGGGGGCCTATGGGTATTTGTGATAATTGTCCCATTATGCGCCAGTGTTTCCCATACATTATACAAGCAGGGCGCCCTGCCTACGGAACCGAACCAAGTGAGGAAAGCATGATGGTAAGATGGAAGGAGTATTTTGAGGAGCTAATGAATGAAGAGAATGAGAGAGAGAAGAGTAGAGGTCATAGAAACTCTGGACCAGGAAGTGGGAAAGATTAGTGAGGGTGAAGTCCAAAAAGTTCTGAAAAGAATGAAGAAGGGGAAGGCAGTAGGACCTGATGACATACCAGTGGTGGTTTGGAAATGTCTTGGAGAGATGGCAATGAGGTTTGACTCAAATATTCAATGGCGAGAAAATACCTGAGGAATGAAGAAGTGTGCTGGTGGCCATTTTTAAGAATAAGTGTGATGTCCAGAGTTGTAGCAACTATAAAGATCTGGGAGAGAGTTGTGGAAGCAAGACTTAGATGAGAGGTGACTATCTGAGCAGCAGTATGGTTTCATGCCAAGAAAGAGCACCACAAACGCCATCGTTGCTTTGAGGATGGTGATGGAGAAGTACAGAAAGGGTCAGAAAGAACTCCACTTTCTCTTTGCGGATTTAGAAAAAGCACTTGACAGGGTGCCAAGGGAGGAGGGGTAGTGTTGCATGAGGAAATCTGGAGAAGCAGAGAAGTATGTTAGACTGGTATAGGACATACATGAGGACAGCAGGACAGTGGTGAGACGTGCTGTAGAAGTGACAGATAGCTTCAAGGTAGAGGTGGGAGTGCATCAAGGATTGGCTCTGAGCCCCTTCTTGTTTGCTCTGGTGATGGACCAACTAACAGATGAGGTCAGGCAGGAATCTCCGTGGACTATGATGTTTGTAGATGACATTGTGATCTGTAGTGAGAACAGGGAACAAGTGGAAGAGAACTTGAAGAGGTGGAGGTATGCACTTGAAAGAAGAGGAATGAAAGTCAGCCGTAGTAAGACAGAGTCCATGTGTGTGAATGAGGGAGGAGGTGGAACAGTGAGGCTACAAGGAGCAGAGGTCATAAAGGTGCAGGACTTCAAGGAATTGGGGGCCACTGCAGTGTTTTTCCTAGATAACTTGCAATGGCGAGGCGCTCATCTCGTCCGTGATTTTTGTCGGGGGCGAAGACAAGTCAAACCTGCTCGTTGTTTGAACCAAGTTTTCAAGCAGGGGGAACTGGCAGCGTGAGCACGACCATTAGTGCACGCTGCTAGCTTAGCTCTACGTCAGTGCAGGGGGGGATGTGCGCAGTTCAGTTCGGTAGGCGGTGCACTCAGTTGTTTATGGGGCGGGGTGCCCTGCTAGTAGGGGAAATCCTGCACTGTCCAAGAAAATGGGGAATGTGGTAAAGAGGTGGGGGAAATAAAAATTTTAAAAAAGTGTTCAGGTAGGATGGAGAAAAGTTTCAGGAGTGATTTGTGACAAAAAGTTGGCTGCAAAGGTCAATAGGAAAAGTTTACAGACAGTGGTGAAACCAGTTATGTTGTATGGTCTGGAGACAGAAACATGGACAATAAGACAGGAGACAGAACTGGAAGTGGCAGAAACAAAGATGTTGAGGTTCTCCTTAGGAGAGACAAGGATGGAGAAGATTAGCAATGAGATCATCAGAGGTACAGCACAGGTTGAACAACTGGGAGATACAGTTAGAGGACACACTGAGATTGTTTGGTCATGTCCAGAGGAGGGACAGTGGTTTTGACATGTCCAGAGAAGGGACAGTGTTTTGGACATGTCTAAAGGAGGGACAGTGGGTATACTGGTAGAAGGATGTTAGAAATGCAGCTGCCAGGAAAAAGACAAAGAAGAGATATATGGATGCAGTTAGAGAGGACATGGAGGTGGTTGGAGTGAAGACAGAGGATGCAGAGGACACAGTGAGATGGAGGACGACTACTCGTAGCGACCCCTGAAGAGGGAAAAGCCATCGAGTTCTGAGCTGCAGGAGGGTGAACCGGCTCCATCTGTGAACTGGGTCCCAGATGAATCCATACTCTAAGGACAGGAGCAGACTCACCAAAGAGAAATAAAATAAGTCACAGTCATGAAAATTCACTTGAATGTCCTAAAAAAAAAGCATTTGTTGGTAGTCTAACAAAGTAAAGTCAGGTCCTCTGGACAGATTCTTCTTGTTTAAACATTTCGTCTTTAATCCAAAAGACTTCTTCAGTCTGAGGAGCTGCAATAAACTCAGTCTTATAAATAGCACCTTCTCATAGTGGATCAACCAGTTGGTTGGCTGTCTGTTGTTACCAATCTGTTGGTAGTGCTCAAACAGCTGGATCTCAGATTGTGATGCCTCGTGAATTTTTGTCAACTTTTATATTTTGTTTGTTTAAAACAGTTTTCTCTCACAAGCAAAAAGCTACAGTGTTTGCTTTAGCAGCCCAGTGTAAAGGCTGAAAACAGAAGGAAGATGGGCTTTGGTTTAAAACGGTGTTTGAAGGATTAATCTGTGGGCAACTTTGACAGCAACGGTTAGAAATCACCCAGGGGAAACATGCAACTATTTGTAAAAAATAAAAATAAAAAACAGACTCGGAATCAAACCACTAGAAAACTAATAGGGTTTAACATTATCAGAGGATGCTGTGAGTTAGAAGACTGTTGAAATTAAATAAAGATAACTTGAGTTTGTTGAGGAGTCAACATGTTGTTGACTGTTGTCTCATCGGGACAGTAAACAACCTTCTGCATCGGTAAACAACAGAGGCAGAAACTTGATTAGTGAAAATAAATCAGAGAAACGTGAAATGTCTTGTTGGAGCTGAGGCCACCTGAGCCTCCAGCAGGACAGTACCAGGACGGACACAACGAGTCAGCGTCTGTCGCTTCCTGTGGACATCAGGACAAACATGACTCAGCCCGTCATCAACAAGGAGGACGCTCCTGTCCCTTAGACTGCCTTCTTTACATTCAAACATCGTCACCCAGCTTCATGGTGACAGGTGAGCATGTGATTTCCTGCGTCTGTTAACAAAATATCTGATGGAGCACTGGATGGATTGGAAATGTGGCTAAAGCTCAGTCATTTGTACTGGAGCTAAACTTGGTGTGGTAGTATCTGAGAGTCATCCTCAACACACCGTGTTCTACAAGAGCACAAGATCCATTTTAAACGTTCAGGATGGCGGGCAACATGCATTCCTTCAAGGAATGTTAGTTTATTAATGAGAACACGTTCATGTCATAATCTCTGAGTCAGCAGCTCTGTGAAGAATGGACAGAGAAACATTAGAAACTATGAATCTTCTGGAGGCTGCCCACGTTTTATTTAGGGCCCAGTGCCCTGAGATGACTTCTGTTGCGACTCGGCGCCGTTTAAATAAACTCAATGGACTCAAATTATCTACAGATTTAGAGCAAAATTCAGCTGACGGATATTTTCAATAATTGGTACGGTCTCTCGAACACTCGATGCAGACTGGAGTACACAGCTCATCAGGTCGTGTTCCGAGTACTTTGACAAGATCAGCTTAAAAAAAAAAAAAAGTATAAATCCTCTGTCCTACAACAGAAACGACTGAAGAAATTCAAGTCATTCTCAACTTGATGCTGACAGGAAGTTACAAAAAATTAGCTGTGATGTGATACAATTAGGAACTTGATTAATTAGCCTGTTAATTAAGTGGTTGATTATTAACCCTTCCCAGGTCATCAGTTTTGGCCTTGACATGTGGTAGTTTAATAAGTCAGTCAACAGAAAACAAAAACCTGGTGTTTTTATTTATTTGGGTTGGTCAGCCATGAGTTTCAGTTCATTATTTTCACTATAGAGCAAGAAGTCACTCAGTTTGATGATTTACAGATTAGTAGGAATTAAGAGCTGCTGTTTTCACACTGCGTCTCAGCCCATGGCGGTCAGACAGAACCATTACGTTTGGTGTTGGGTTATTGTCAGAACTCATTTCAGTGAGTGCTTTTTGCCTGAATAATTTCCAGATAAACCAGGTTTCTCTGTGACAGGAGCCTGAGTTGGCTGTGATCCGCCTTAATACTGCTGCTTTCAGAACCACGATGTGTTCAGGTCCATTCGGCCTCTAAAGGAAACCAACTGCCAGACAACTGGTACCCGACATCGTCCTCGGCAGACAATGCCGTACCTTCTCAATGACAAGCATCAGGTGGCGATTTCGCTGCCTACAAGTGTCTGGCGCTGCCTACTCGACAATAATTTTCTTTAATTTGGAGCCAATCGACATCCTGGCGCGGTAGTCACAAGACTGATTTCAGTCGCTCTAGTGTAGTGGGAAAGACACAGCCTCTTAGCAACTCCATTTTAATTTGTATCAAAATTAGACTTTAAAGTACACAATATTTTTAATCGTGTTGATAGGAAATGTAAAACCTGAGTTGTGATAAATAACCCACACCACATCTTTTTCTGAAAATCATCGTTATATCAGAAGTGCGTTAGAGCAAGAGACTGCAATAAAGACGGGCAGTCTCAGGGACAAAACTCCCCCATCACCCTCCACTTTCACCTCCCAACCCCACCAAACAGAAACAGCCTCCCCGGAAGCTCGGAAGTTACTCGTCAAGCACCAAAAAAAATCTACAGGAAGAAGAAAAAGGCACAGAAGTTGAATGAAGTTTAACGCGTTAAAGTCGCAGCGAGAGCGGGAGTGAGTCATGAGGTTTGAGAGATTTGTGATATAGATAGATAGATTTGAGATTTGTGTGTCTGGGTTTTAGAGTTAACCGTGTTTCTCCTACCGTTATCCAAGGAGGGCGCCCCACCCCATCAAGAGAACAGAGCGCCCCGCCTACCG